AAAAAAAAAAACTACTTTAAAAAAAAAATAAGAAAACTTCCATTAAAGATATAAAAATTACTTTAGAAACAGTAAGAAAAAAAATTAAAGGGGATAAAAACACAGAATGTAGGAAATATTATAATAGTACACAGACACCTGTATAAGAATGTTCAGTGCAACATTATCTCCCAATAGTGAAAAATTAAAAACAACCTAAGTATCCATAACAGAAAACTGGCTAGACAAACTGTGACAGAACCATAAAATGCAAACAATGGGATACACTGCAGTTGTTACAAGAAAGTTGTAAAGAATGTGGAGCGCCAATACATAATGACATGGAAAAATATCCCTGAGATCTAAAGTGAAAAGAACAAGATGCAGAAATACATAATATGATCCCCCTTATTTTTATTTTTTTTTTAAAGATTTTATTTATTCATTTGAGACAGAGAGATACAGAGAGAGAGAGAGAGAGAGAGCGCATGAGCAGGGGGAGAGACGGAGGGAGGGAGAGGGAGAAGCAAGCTCCCTGCTGAACCAGGAGCCCAGTGTGGGGCTCGATCCCAAGACCCTGAGATCATGACCTGAGCTGAAGGCAGACACTTAACCATCTGAGCCACCCAGGCTCGCCCCTAATCCCCCTTGTGTTTAAATGTTAAAAGTTATACGTAGATGTTTGCTCCAGAAAATACAATAAACACTGAATTAATGACAAAGTTTACCCCTAGGGGAATGGGAATGAGGATGTTGTGGGGTGAGCAGAGAATTTAGGGCTCATGCCCTCTGTACTTTTTGAATATGCTTACCATGAGCATTTATTCCTTTAAAATTAAATAGCAGTATTAAAAAAAACCCTTAAAGAATGTGCTACCTCTTTTGAATCATTGAGATGTTTCTATGTGAAGCATTCTACATGAACACAAAACACGTACCAGAGTATTTGTTGACATACATTAAAAACTTTTTATTTGAAATATTAAAACTTTGGTGATGGAAGAGAAAAGAAACTGAAAGAGACGTGAGGAAAAAGATAAAGGAATCCAAGTTCATGGGAAGGAGATAGTTAACACTGTACTCCTGTACATGTATAAATGTTCATTTCACTACCATCATGAAATAGAGTACCTTATGACGTAATCTGTTAACTGATCCATATTTTTTTTAAGTATGTTCTACTTTAGTACGTACCTAGTTAATCTGGGAATGAGTATACTTTTGCTCTAATTCAGACTCTATGTGATTTGACCCTAAAAGAGTCATTTAAACTATCTACTACTTTCAATCTAAATTATCTTTCTGCTACTGGCTGGAGTGCTTAATTGTGATTATCAAGAGGAAATTGTGTTGCTGCAACACAATCAAGCCAAGGAGGACTATTACTGAAACTCCGTAGATTCACTGAGGTTCCTCTTTTACTCTCTTGCCAAATAGCCATAATTAATGAAAAACTGTAACAAATATAGTACTCTTAAAGACTCAGATCCTGCAGTGATAAAGGTTTGGGTTATTCCACTAGGCAAAACAGAACACACCCAGCCAAGATGCTGCAGAGGGCAAAGGAGAACAAGGAATTGGTTGTAGAAGGAGAAAAAACTGATTATAAACTTAGAACTCATAAGCAGCTGGAAACTCAGGAGCTGAAAAAGCTATTCTTTTTTTTCTTCCCACCCCCATTGCCTTAAATAAACATTAATGGTGTCAAATTAAATATATATATATATATATACACACACACATATAGTATAAAAACACACACATGTAATATATATACACATATAGTATACATATACGTATATATATATACATATGGTACATATATACACATACAGTACATATATACATATACTATATATATGTATAGATATAAATGTATACATACATACTTTGTTTTGTAATGTGTAGAGATTTGTGATATTATGACTTCAAAAGGTCTTCAAAAAACCATCTTGATCTGTCTTTAGAGAAGCTTTATCTTAGTTCCTGCATTACTAAATATAATGGTATGTATTTTCAAAACAGCATTTTAAGCTATGACATTTTAAGAACCTGAGAACACTTTCAACATACCTCACTACTATGAAAATGAGGTATACAGGATAACAAAAATGAGTAGGATCCTTTCTAAAGATCAGAACATTTTCTTAGTGGCAGTAGTGGTAGCCCTTAAAAGAAATTTAATTTAAAATGACGTAAATTACTGTTCTTGTTTTGTCCAAATTCTTACACTTAACCACATTGCTTCTTTTTAAGCAATCATAGTAACAGTGAGCCAAAATAAAATTACACACGGGCAGTGTGGTGTAGTGTTAGGTAGAAGCTAGACCTAAGCAGTGGAAGGAATGCCCTAAGGCAGACTCCCAATCCTTGAAGGGGAATGACAGATAAGAGCTGGAGGCAAGGACGGTGATAAATCAGATACACATTAAAAGCCTGGGGCACAACATCTGACCTTGTGGCTTCCAAGTCCTTGGGGCTGACAAACTAAAGAGCCACAGGTGCAGAACAAGCGCTCTCCTCTGCCACCTTTGCCCCTGGGTAACCCCTAGACTCATAATGCATTTGAATTGTGGGTACAGCCCCACCGGATGGAGAAAGGCTGCCCAGACCTTTCCGTACAAACCTTGTAGGGCCAAAAACTCCACCTCCCAATCCATGGGAGGAGTCTCCCAAATGACTGAAAACAGACTCCATTAGAGACCACCCACAGTACATCGCAGCTTCTCCCAACCCATAGAGACGCAACAAATATCCAGTCACAAAACAACATAGGGTAGGTTCCAACTGGTGGAACCTGCTGCTCTCCCATCTTGACAGTGTACATGCACTTTTTTTTTTTTAAGATTTTATTTATTTATTTGACAGAAAGAGAGAGAGCAAGCACGAGCAAGAATGAGCACAAGCAGGGGAAGCAGCAGAGGCAGAGGGAGAAGCAGACTCCCCGCTGAGCCTGATGTGGGGATCAATCCCAAGACTCTGGGATCATGACCTGAACCAAAGGCAGATGCTTAATCAACTGAGCCACCCAGGCGCCCCTGTACATTCATTTTAATAAACTGCTTTGTGCTTGCTACTTTCCTTCTAGCTATCTTTATTAGAGCACAGATTACCACGCAAATCTTCTCATGGGGAATCCAAGGACTGAGACCTCCATTCACACAATGCGTACTCTCCCACCAGTAACATCTCTATTACCCTAGGATCAAGCTGATACTCATATGCATATGTACTGAAGCAAAAATGATATACTTTTCTCCCTGAAAATACATCATAAGTAAAATATCCAAAAGCTGTCACATGGCTTAGTTCTTTTGAACTCTCTTGCAAAATTTATCTGACCTTCAAATGATTCTCTATACTGGACAATATTTGGATGCTTCATGTTTGCCAATACTGCAACTTCTCTCCTTGATTCTTCCCTTTCTTTACTGGACATCTTAAATGGGAGAGAAAAAGAAAATATTAAATTAGACCATCAATAGACAATCTAAAAGTCCATCAATAAGAGAGTGGTTTAAAAACAACAGTACCAATAAAGCACAGTCAAAATAACAAAATAAAGACAGAAGTTAAAAAGAATAAGTTGAATCCACAAGTAAAAACATTTTAAGATGTTCAAACTAGATTAAGTTACAGAACAGTAGGTGTATTTTTTTAAAACACTTAAATACATAAACACAAGCACACAGCATAGAAAAAAATCTGCAAGGATATACAGACTATTCTAAAATTAGTGGTTCTCTCTGGGATTATGGTAGCCTTCCACTTTACATTATGCAATGCCATATTTTTTTTTTAATTCTCTAACAATAAGCCCTATTGAAATCAGTGTATTAGTTCAATAACCAAACAAAAAATATACTTACTCTTGAGATGTTAATTTCCTTGATAACATATTGCCTGCCATCTTCTGTAGATTTAACAAGAATGGCTTTTCCAAATGAACCTTCTCCAATCTTCTGTAGTCTAACATACTTTTCCATGATTCTTTTTCTAAAGCATCTTAACAGATATACTAGACATTAAAAAAAGTAACAGTTAACAGAGATAAAACATGTCTTCCATAACAATTATAATGTTTAATTCAATCCTAATTCCCTAGTGATTTGCTTACTTAAAAACATTTTAAAAAAACGATGATTGCTTAAAAAGAAGCAATGTGGTTTAAAATCTCTACTCAATGTTAAATGAACTTTATCCAATTTTACTCATATGACAGTTATAACTAAAAAGAGAAAAACAATGACATTTCAATTTTATAAGAATGCTTTGGAAAGTCAAATACTGTATATACTTAATGTATATGGAGAGAGACAAACTTTTTCCTATGTGAATTAATTAGCAGCATTACTTTAGTATCTCCAATAAGAATACATTTCCCAAAGTTATTTAACTAATCCTCTTATTAGACATTTAAATTGTTTACATTGTCTGCTATTACAAAAGAACTTTAGATAAAATTTCTGTACATACATTTTTATGTACTTATTCTAAGGATCTCCTTAGGATAAATTATTTGTCCAAAGAATATGCACATGTTAAAATTCAGGAACATAGAGCTTAACTGTCTTACAGAAATGTCTACCAACTTACATTCTAACCAGCAGTATATGAAAGTGCCTGTTCCTAGACAGCCTTTTAACACTGGTTATTATTTATTAATCTTGGAGAAGCCATAAAGGGTAGTAGTTAACAAGCACTAAAACCTTAGAGTCAGGAAGCCTGGATTTAAATCCTGACTCTCGCTTTTTTGTTATACGACACTGGACAAGTTACTCAGCTTTATGTGCCTTAGTTTGTTAACCTGTAAAATGTGGGTAACAATAGTACACACTCATAGAACTGTTGGGAGGATTAATTTCAGTATTACACTGTAGAACAGTGCCTGGCACACAGTGAGCACTGTGTCACTATTTGTTGCTATTGTTACTTATTACAATCAACAGAGAAATGGTGCCTCATTTTTTATTTCTTTTGCTTATCAGTTAATTTGAAAAATTCTTCCACATTTATTGAACATTTGTATTCTTTTTTGACCTATTCATGTTTTCTGTTCATTTTCTATTCGAAGTCTTTTTATTAATTTGTAAAAGTCCCCTCTTTAATGAAGATGTTAGCCCTCCTCTGTCAAAAATATTTTTTCCTTATATGCTATCTGCCTTTCAATTTTATTTAAATACAAAAATTTATTTTGCTATTATTTTGATATTAATTAAACATGTTATTAGTCTTTATATTTCTCCTTTTGGTATCATAATTATATCCTTACTGTACCAAGATATTTGATAAAGGCCATTAGTAACTTTAGCAATAGTTAATTTCAGGAGAATAATGGGTGGGGACAGAAGCCAGAGCCTAAAAGCTAGTTAGTGAAAGCTTAAAAGTCAAAGAGAAGGAGGAGGGAAAGAGAGTGATATGGTCACAAGACAATCATTAGCACTGCCTATTGACAAGACTACCCTTATTGTGGAGATACATGAATTCACTATATTAATTTAAAACTCATAAATATTTAATTTATCTAACTTGCTCTCTTCTATCTCCATTCACATCAAGCAGCTTTCTATGTATGATTCCCTTCTAGGAGAAAATGGGCTTGTCATGAAGGCCATAATAAAATTTCTGTGACAGTTTACCATATTTCTCATTGAAAATTAACAAACCCATGTTCTCATTTCATCCATCAATACTAAATTTGTTTAATTTTACTTTGCCTCTAAAATATGATCTAATCTCCTTAAATGACAAAATTTATATTCAGGGCCTGTAAGACCAAAGTCCAGAACCCAGCCTCTGGTAAAATCAATTGGATAATTATGCCTTAGGAAATTTTGTGGGAAAGAGCCTTCTTCTACCTTAGAAAACCTAATAACCATATTGCATTTCATATTTCTGTAAGATAGGACAAGACTTTAGCAATTTAAAGAGAAATAAGAAATTAACTATTACAATAGCAATACAGTACCATCAGTGAGTTAAAGAAGTCATTCCAAACATACATACTCTCCTCTCAAATCCTAGTTTGGTCAACTGGCATAATATAATGGCTATCTGGGTACCAGCCAGAATTTAATGATTTCTCCAGGACACGAATATATTACATTATCATGCTATTTAGAAAAAAATATCAAGATAAACTCATCTTAGAAAACTAAATTTCATAAATCAAATTACATTAAATAATAACCATATAATGAGATTTCACAACCATCATTATTCTGTGACTGCTGCCAAGAAAAAGAAACAAAATTAGTCAATTTGGCTCTGCCTCAAAATTTAGTTGCCAATTCCTTTCCAGGGACCACACTAATGAAATGGAAGCTCCAAGAGTCCCTAGTACTGCACTCTACTGCCTACCACATTACTGATCATTGTGGTTCTGACAACTCAGTATAGGAAACCTACTGCCCCTGGTAGTGAAGAAGGATGACTCTAATTGCCATTAAATGATGTCAATGCAGGGCGCCTGGGTGGCTCAGTTGGTTAAGCAACTGCCTTCGGCTCAGGTCATGATCCTGGAATCCCTGGATCGAGTCCCGCATCGGGCTCCCTGCTTGGCAGGGAGCCTGCTTCTGCCTCTGACCCTCCCCCCTCTCATGTGCTCTCGCTTTCTCATTCTCTCTGTCTCAAATAAATAAATAAAATCTTTAAAAAAAAAAAAAATGATGTCAATGCAGAAAGCTTTCTGAATAAAAGACATGTGGTAAATGAGTTTCAGAGAAACTCACAACTCCTCCTTTTCTGCAGAGTCTACACTAGACTACTGTAGTACACTGGAGGAAGTGAAGGGGAAAACGGAAAGATAGAGTACATTCAGTGTCTTACAACATATTTAACCGACCTACTTATTTTCTAGTCATGAGACTCCTCAGCTGAATTACAATCCTAAAAGATTTTTCAAACCAAATGAAAAACAGTGACAAAATGTACTATAGGCTTATACATCCACAATCATCATAACGTACAACTGAAGGAACAATCTTGTTCTAATTTCATATTTGTAATAAACTGAAAATACGAGTGTTTGTCCTTTTATCTTCAGTTTCCAACATCAAATGAAAATCACATACCAACTTGACAGTATTCTTAAGGTCTCTAACAATTATATCAACTTAATCTCTATAATATCAAAGACATTTTTGACATTTGAGCTTTCCAGAGAGTTATGTGATACAATAAACAAAGCAATGGATTTGGAAGAGAAAGTTACATGACCAAGAAGCAAACCACCTGACTTCTCTGCACCTTGGCTCCTTCATCTGAAAACACTAACAATTTAAACATAATGCTATCTTAAGGGCTCTACCAACTATAATAGTCTGTGATGCAAAGAGACGAAAATAAAAGAGTTGAGTAGATCAGAAAATAGGAAACTTCAACATTGTTTAGAATTGTACCATTAGTCACAAAGAGTAGGAATGACAGAGAAATATAGCCAAAGCCTTTCCTTTAGAGAAATCAAAAGAAGATACAAAAGTAATTTCTTCAGCCTGTATCTTTAAAAAGTCAAAAAATAAAGTGCAATTTAGAGTTAAACATATTAAACTGAACCTCTACTTCTTCTACCTCTACTTCTTCCCTAAACCTAACACAACTTTAAAGAGATCAAAAAGGCAGAACAGGAGAGTAAGCAACAGCAATAAATTTCTGGAAGCTGACAAACCTAAGAATAAGCAGCAACTGACTTAGGAGACTAGAGAAAACAGTACTGTAACCCAGCAGTGGCAAATAGGTCAATTTCCACTACAGACTAGTTCAATAATTAGAATAAGGTGCTTCCGAGATTAAGGATAATATCAGAACTAAAACAGAATTGGCTGAAAGACTATATAATACACAGTTAGACACACAGTTTGCCTCCTCTACTTCTCCCAGTCAGGTGACTGTCCCTCTCTCCTGTTGGCAAAAGACTAGAGTTGTCTCTAGATTGGTGATACCAACACAGCTGAGAATGGTACCATATAAATATGGGAGATTAAGTGAAGGCTGACATAATAAATGGTTCCAGGGCGCCTGGGTGGCTCAGTCGGTTAAGCGACTACCTTCGGCTCAGGTCATGATCCTGGAGTCC